ATGCTTTACATCAAGAATACCATAAATTACAACAACGAAAATTGGAGTTATCTTATGTCAATCACATAGAAACTGATAATTTAACGATTGTTGATCATAATGTGCGATCATTCAACAAAAATTTTCCATATATAGCGAGTGACCCATGGTATACACAAGCAGATATCTTAATCTTTTCCGAATCTTTCACCCCTTTGAATGACCATATCAATTTTACAGGTTTTCATCTTCTATTTAAGACGGATTCACATGTAAGGTCGTGTTCAAAAGGCATTTTAATTTTTCGAAATGAAAAATCAACGATTAACTACTCCATCATCGACCATAGAAAAATAGAACTTGAAAAATCTCATTTAGATTTGATTTTATTTCAAGTTGATAACGTGCAGGTACTGACAGGCTATAAATCTCCGTCATTTAAGACTGAAATATTTTTCAAAGAATTGAAATCAATGATGGAAATCATGGATATTAATGCACAGAAAATAATAATTGGGGATTTTAATTTGGACATATTTGAACCGAATCATTTATTCGAAGAATATTTAAATGCCGACAATTTTAAACGAGGTTTAGAAATGCATACATCCACTACTGATTTTAATACCCAAATAGACGTTATATTTATTAGCAATATTTTTAAATATTTATGTGGAGTGTATGAATCTTATTTTTCTGACCATAAACCGATATGTATTGGATTGAATTCTCGATACGATTCATTCCCTATGAATGATGAAGCTAACAACATTAAAGATGTGTCTCGTTCCATCCATGAGGAAATACGGAGAATGCAATGTACATCGAATGAAAGAAGCGATGATGAATCCACTACATGTCGACTCACATCACCTATCGAGGAAAATTTTGGGCATGATTTGTTAATTAATAGAAAGATGTCTCCTCCCATCGACGAGGAAATTCAGATAGCAAACTCTTCATCAAATCCATAAGATGATGAATCAAGGATATTCACCGAAAAATTTGTCTCATCCATAAATTCCCCAACAACACAACGGCTTATTAAAGTGCAGGATATGTACATATTCAAGAATGGTAATATATGTGATCCAATCCTTCACCGAAATACTTCATTTTGTCTGCAACAAACTTGTGGATTTGATAGTATGCTTCAAATACTAATTGCAGCATGTGATGTCGAACATTTTCATAATGATGTTATTCTTTCAAACACTCGGGAATTTGACTTAATCAAGTATGTTATCGAAAACTATGCAGTAGACGAAGAATATATTGAACAATCAAGATTGAACATTTTTCTCTCTAAAGAGTATGTTGTTGAAAAACAATTGGTACTAGACCATCAGACGATTTTGAACGCTTTAACATCAAAATCGATATTGTGCCCCATAATTTTCGATCAAAATCCGAGTTACTGATTAACAGTAGAATGTTCTTCATGTCATAATACAACAATTAATGAGATTATGATTGAACCGCACATTGGAGCAATATGTAATTATGGACATCTTTATAGTCAACACTTACAGGAAATAATGGATATGACAATATGTGGAATTTTTGAAGAACTACATACACAGTGTCCACAGTGTACTATAAAAAGTGTCAATTCCAATAATCATCTCTTCATTAGTTGTCCATCAGATCATCAACTTTGAGTTCCTATACATAATGTCCCAGTGATTTTGAATGTCAACAATGAAAAATACGTTTTGGTGGGAATAGTAAACTTTCACGATCCGGAAATTATCACCAAGGATAGTAGTGGACATTATACAGCATGTATAATGAAAGAAAATAAATGGACAATCATTGACGATTTACTACCTAATAGGATTCTTGGAATTAACTCATCAGATCAGATTAACCCTCATTTATGTATTTATGTGAAATAGTGGAATAATGTGGAAACTTTTCGTAAGTAATAGCAATAGAATGGAAATATTCATTACTTGAATATGATTTTTCTTCAAATAATATTGAAATGTATCTCAGTTGCCGTTCGCTTCACATGCCACATTACCCTTTGGTCAAACTGGAAAGAGAAGGATGGAAAAGAAAAATATTGTAGACTCGGAACCTATCATCTCCTATTATTTGTCCATTTGAGTTTTTAGAGAGAATATGGATTGAGGGCTCCAAATGATTAAGATAAATCTTTAAGATAATCTTCAATAAATATGGAATTATTTAAACAACCATCTTATTTGGAGCAAGCAAAATAGAGCAACACGTTTCTCTCTATATATCTCTCTATATGATAAAAAAATATTGAGATTTTTGGGATTTGTAATTGGAGTTTTCCAGCTTTTGATGGGTTTTTTTGTTGAATTTTGGAGAGAATCGATTTTACTTTTCCCTAAAATCAATCGTTGATAAATTAATCGATTAATGAAAATGAATTTTAAAAAAATAGGATTTCCTTATGTTCATTGTTGATTTATCCCGTTGAGGAGTGAGTTAACAAAAAATGTCAAAAGACCTTTTTTTACCTCCGACGGTGGCCACCAAGGGGTCTATGCTTTTGACATGAGCTAACCTCATTCTCGGACGCCTTTACAAGAACATAACTATGTCAGAAATGGGTTTAAAAAATCAGTTGTTCTGTTTAGAATATATAAAAAACAACAAGGAATGTTGTAGTGGAGCTCGTTTTGCGATTAATCACTGAGATTTCCTAAAAATCACCTAATAAAAAATGATTTCTATGAATTCGGTGTCCCCCGACTTTAGTGTCTATTCTTAATTATTATTATTACTTGATCGTTTTTATTTCTTCCTTTTCCAATTTTACAATGCTACTGTCGCGGGTTTTGAATTTTCAATTATTTTTGCGGTGATAATTAAATCCACCACAGAAGAGGTCTTTTTTTTCGTTGTCGACCAATATCATATTTTCATTTTGTGTCGTTATAATGCGACAGCAGTGATAAGTTATAATTAGGTTGAATTGATTGATAAAAATGAAAAATAAAGGAAAATTAAATGAAGTTGAATTGTACGCTGAATTGAATGTAGAAAATATTTTGCAAGATTTGGTAATTGAAGATGAATCGATTTTTATGCAAGATTTTTTTTTAATGAAATTTTCCTTCAAATTACTAGAAATATAAAGAGCAAAGGAATTTTCCTTTCGAAAAAATGAGAGTCTCCTGAGTTATAGAGTAGATTGTATATCGATAGTATTGATTCCTATAGCATTCTTTTATATATATATATATTAACGTACATTGAATTGAAGCAATATTAAACAAAGGAAAATTAAAGTTTTGAAATATTTTTCACAGTTGGAGTAGACACTTTGATCTATTATTCATTTGAAGCACAAATTAATAGTAAACGAAACGAGAAAATGGCCCTGCAGCTGGAATATCCTTGCACAATTACAAACATTCAAGAAGGAGTCCCTAGGAAGTATATCAAATGAAAGACTTTCTAGGATGGGTTTATCAAATAGAAAGGATTATTAATAAATTATCTGATTAGTTTAACAGGAACTGTCACGGTACTACGTCTACTCAGAATGGTGAATAGAAGACCAGTAAATGGGATCATTCTATTCAATGGACATTCTGATCAACGGAGAAATTAATTCAAGGTTAAAAATTATGATGTGGAAGTAATGGCTCATTTATGGCGTTCTCCGACTCAAGTTAGTGAAAATGTTAGTGAAAATGGAAAGCAATGAAACAAACTATATAATAATTGTTAACATCATTAAACAGTTCATACATATAAGAAATGCTGTGCCTATGATGCCAACTCGATATGAACATTGGATGGAAAACAATTTTGTTGGTAATCCTCCAATTATATTTGAATGGCATGTATATGGAGGAGAACAGATCAGTTTTCTCGGACCAACTCCGACCGTAAGATGTATAGTTGAATCAGAGGATGAATAATTGGAATTAACGAACGCAGCACTAAGGACAACAATAGAGTACCAACAACATATAAACCATCAACAATATTTGGTTATTTTCTTTGATTTTTTCCTTTCAATTTTATCTTCTAATAGTCACACGGGGGGTCAAGCAAGCGAAGCGAACAGGGAGCGAAGCTAACTGAAGCTGAGCTATCGGCGAACAATTGATTTTCAAAACCTCAGAGTGCAAAACTTCAAGCCTCCAAAACTTGAAGGGATTAAGTTCCGATTAAAGTCCGACTAAGCCTTGATTAAATCCTAATTAAATGCCGATTAAATCTCCATTTATACTCCATTATACTCCAATCAAGCCCCAATACTGATGATTTTTTTGCGATTTATTTGACGCTATAACTGAATAATTCAAGAACGAATTATGCTGATCCGATGATATTCGAACTCGGTGAAGAAGGCATTGAAAGGAATATTTTAATGCGTTATTGAATCTATTAAAATGGCAAATTTTTGAGCCATCGTCGAAAAATCGATTTTCAAAGAAATATCAATCTTTAAAAAACTACATTATGGATCAAGTTTCAATTGGCGTTATTAAATAGCGCTTATGAATGTGTACATTGAGTTTAAAAAAATGGAATTCGGTACATTTGTCATGGGGAAATCGTTGATGAAACCTTTCGAGGGACCGATCACATACATATATACATACATACGAACATGGTCTAGAAATCACATTTTTCGACTAATTAGACCATATTTAGTCACCCCCACCAAAAAAATTGGAAACTTAAATTTTGACGATTACAATGCTTCCATCCGGAAGCAAAAATTATTGACATTGGCATTTTTCGTGAACAGTGATAAGAAATGTACGTTATGTGACGACAAACTACACCCATTATACAAATGCAAGAGTTTCAAACGAATGAAAATTGCCACCAGAATAAACACTGTCGAAACTGGAGGTTATTGCAAAAATTGTCTTCGTAACAATCATCAAACGACTGAATGCAACATAAAGAGTGGATACCTACTATGTGAAGGGAACCATAATACATTAATTCACGTGGACCGTTCCACCGCTGCTAACGATAATTCAGGAGAGACCTCCAACTGACAATCAACCACTGGAATGGATCAACAGACAACTCTCATCGGTGCTCATGCTAGCAATCAGATACTACTCACTGCGATGGCCAATGTATCCAACAACCATCGTGAACCTATAAGAGGACGAATACTTCTGGATACAGGCTCAACAACAAACTTCATGACCAACGAATTCGCTGAGAAGTTGAACATCCGAAAGGAGAAATGCTCCATTCCAGTAGGTACACTCAATGGATTAACCACATACACGAAATGGAAATTGAGAATCTTCATACAATCTTCAGACGGTAAATATCAAGGAAAATTTGAATGTTTGACAATTCCATCAATTTTACAATTCATCCCAATCCGACCAATTCATAAAAACCTCATCGAGATACCAAAGAACATACAATTAGCCGATCCAGAATTTTACAAACCTGCTCCAATTGACATCTTGCTCGGATCAGGTCCAACACTATTACTGCTGAGTATTGGGCAGATAAAAATGTTCAACCAGGGTAGGCCTGATCTGTATTTACAAAAGACTCAATTGGGCTGGGTAATTGGGGGTGATAGCAGAGCATGCGATGAAGGGATACCACAACGGGTCCATCACCTTCAGCTTGTAAACATGCTGACGAAATTCTGGGAGATAGAGGAAGGTCCAAAAAGGAAATATCCATCCCCAGAAGAAAACGCAACAGAAGAACATTTTAAACAGCATGTGAGTTGGGACGCATCAGGGAAATACATTGTTGCGCTACCATTCAATGAAAAAAAGGTCAAATTGGGCAAATCCATAGAAATTGCTCAAAAAAGACTGAACAGCCTACAGAATAAATTCAGGAAAAATCCTAGTATTCGACAACTATACCAAGAAGTTATCAACGAGACATGAAACTAGGACATATGACGAAATTATCGAAATATAATGCTGAGGGGAACTTTCTACCTCATCACGCAGTACTAAAGGAGACTAGCATGACCACGAAACTCCGAGTCGGTTTCGATGGTTCTGCTAAAACCTCCTCAGGTCTCTCACTGAACGAAACACTAATGACTGGTCCAACTATTCAAGATGATCTCTTTTCTCTCGTACTCAGATTCCGATTCCACAAATATGTATTGACTGGAGACATTGAGAAAATGTATCGACAATTCTGGGTACGAGAGGAAGATCGGAAATATCAACAAATTTTATGGCGAGATGAGACCGGTGAAATAGCTACGTTCCAATTGAATACTGTAACATTCGGTTTATCAGCAGCTCCATTTCTAGCCATTCGAAGTTTACAACAACTCGCACGAGATTACGAAAAGCAGTATCCACAAGCTGCTCGAATTTTGTTGCGAGATATGTATGTAGATGACCTCCTGACCGGTTTCAACTCTTTGGTTGAAGCTCAGACAGTCCAGAGGCAAATCATTGAATGCTTAAAACAAGGCGGTCTTAATATCCGTCTGTGGGCACCCAATGAAAAAGAGCTGCTGAAACACCTTCCAACGGAGTCGATTAATCAGAAATTATTCATTAATGATGACAAAACTCTGAAAACTCTAGGAATCTTCTGGAATTCAGAAACTGATACTATAAACTTTTTTCATAAAATATCACCCGAAGAAAAACCAGTCACAAAGAGGGAAATACTATCAGACATTGCATCCATCTTCGATCCACTTGGCCTACTCGGCCCAGTCATCCTGACCGCCAAACACGTAATGCAACAGCTATGGGCGGCTGGTATAGACTGGGACGAATCTATACCTAAGAGCATACACACTCAGTGGATTGAATATTATCAACAACTGCCTCTTCTGAAGAATATAGCCTTCAAACGTAACGTGCTGATAAATGATGCGAGCGAATTGCAAATACACGGATTCGCGGATGCCAGCACAATTGCCTACGGTGCCTGTCTATACATTCGTTCAGCCAACAAACATGGAGAGATAGAAACACAGCTACTCTGTTGGAGATCACGTGTAGCTCCTCTAAAAACGATGAGTATACCAAGACTTGACCTTTGTGCAGCTCAAACACTCGTAGAATTATGCAATTCAGTGCAAGGGGCCATCAAGAAAGAAATCTCCAGAACAATTTTATGGTCAGACTCAACGATCACCCTACATTGGATAAATAAATCTCCCCATCTATTGAAGACCTTCGTTGCAAATCGAGTAACCGACATCCAACAAGGGTCAAAACATTGTGAATGGAGACATATTGGGTCAGCTGACAATCCAGCCGATGCACTCTACAGAGGGCAACTACCTGCTGATTTCACCAGCAACGAGCTGTGGCAGGTAGGGCCCACGTGGTTGAAGAATCCAGAAGAGGAATGGCCTAAGGATCCCGAAATATTTACAGCAAACGACGCAGAACTTAAGACTTGTTTGAAGGCAATCATCGATGACAGTATATTCAAGAGATTCTCATGCATTTACAAGGCGGAAAGAATCATTTCTTATTGTTTACGTTTCATACAAAAACGTCTGAAACGAGTGCGAGCCTTCAAGGGACCGATTTCAGTCGAAGAAAGGAACGAGGCCAGATTGAGGATGAGAAAAATAGCACAAATGCAATCTCTCCCCGACGACCTGAAGAAAATCAAAACTCCAAATGAAAACTCTCAACAAAAAAACTTGTCTCAGCTCAATGCATTCATCGATGATAAGGGAATATGGAGAGTAAGAGGGAGATTGCAACACGCAGACATATCATATGAACAGAAGCATCCAATCATCCTCCAAAAGAATAACCACATCACTGACCTCATCATCAGAGAATGCCACCTGTCACATCTCCATGCAGGAATACAGACTACATTATATGCTATACGACAACGGTACTGGCCATTAGGAGGAAGGATTCAAACAAGAAAGATAGTGAGAGCCTGCGTGAGATGCAGTAAGGCTAAACGAACACAGGTCAACTATACCATAGGAAACTTACCACCATCAAGAGTGACAAATAACACATCAGGAGTATTTCTACAGGTAGGAGTAGACTACGCCGGCCCAGTGCTGATCAAGGAAAGAAAATACCGAAGTGTAAAAAAGGTCAAGGCATATATCGCAGTCTTTGTTGGTATGGCCTCGAAGGCCGTTCATCTAGAGCTAGTGAGTGATCTGACCACCTCTGGGTTCATTGGAGCCTTGAGGCGCTTCATCTCTCGTAGGGGTAAACCAACCGCAATTCATTCAGATAATGGAACGAACTTTGTGGGCGCCAGCCGAGAATTGAGAAGAATCATCGCAGAATTATACTAGCAAGATTTCAATGACAAAATCAACGAATATTTGGGGAATCAAAATATTGATTGGCATTTTACACCACCACTAAGTCCAAATTTTGGAGGTCTCTGGGAGGCGGCTGTAAAGTTATAAAAGTTAAATATCATTTAATTAGAATCACGGGCAATCAATTATTCGCATTGGAAGAATTTAATACCCTGATAATCGAAATAGGAGCAATTTTAAATTCTATGCCTCTAGCACCTTGCTCGTCCGATCCGAACGACCTACGACCATTAACCCCAGGAGATTTGATGCTAGTACGACCACTTGCTACTATTCCTGAACGAGATTTGACATCCGACCCACTAAAGCGGCTTCCTAACGGGGCCCTCATTCAAAGGGTTCGGCAAGATGTATGGAACAGATGGCATCGCGAATATCTCAATCATCTTCATGTTCGAAATAAATGGACAAATGGGGAACACCAGTTGAAAGCTGGATCTCTTGTTTTATTTAGGGAAGATAATCTTCCAAGCTTGCAATGGAAATTAGGAAAATTGTTGAAACTCATCCAGAAGATGACAATATAATTAGAGTTGTCACAGTAAAAACATCTAATGGTATTTTTAAGAGAAATGTACGCAAACTTGCTCCTTTGCCAATTGATGTCGAATGAATTCAGTTGAACAAAGAGTTCAACGGCGGGAGTATGTTACGACTAAAGAGCCCTCATCTCAAATCAAATTCCATTAAAAAATGTCCAATTTGAGATAGGGAAAATGTTCATGTAAAATTCTAGTTTGTCGTTGAAAGAAATAGTTTCCCCAGAAATCATCCTCACGTGCTGACCCTTCCCCTTTCGATGGGGAAAAATCCCACATCTTAGAAAATTCAGTTTCAAGCCTATTTTTTTTATAATCCTCAGATTTATGAATGGATAAATTCTGCATAACCCCAGAACCAGAATTTACGATCGGGATTTACCCAAACTGCAGTCATAAAATCTCTGGGACTGCTCCGTCACGGGGTGAAGTGTTGGCACGTGTGCTTATAAAACGAAAGGTCCAGTCCTCGCGGACTGACCCTCCAGACCCAGCGTCAACCAATAAGACAATTTAAAGTACACAATCTCCACCCTCTTTCAACCAACTTCCAATAGAGATCAGCAGAAAACCCGAAACATCCAATGAACAATTCCTTTGACCCCTTCCTAAAGGTTTCCTACAATTTAAGAAACTCGAGAGAAATCTAAGAAGTGTAGAGTTAGTATTACTCTGACAACCGTGGCGACAATCCTTAGTCATAGAGAACTCTCTTAACTTTACGTTTAATACCAATAGTAGAATTAATAATACTATTAGTTATTAAATTCAGTTAGTGCAATTATCAACCAACAACATTAAAAGGGATTAAGTGTGTGTAATTAGTGATGTAAAGACAAATATATTAACTGTGTTGTGAAAATTCGAAATACTAGTGTTGAATCCAATATCCTTTAATATCCTACTATATTAAAAAGAAAATATATATTGTAAAGGATTTCTGCCGGTGCTCCACTAGCAAATATCCGAAACTATTTTGGGCATCTCCTCTATCGTTCAATTAAGTCGGGCGCCAGTTGGATTTTCACGGAAAATCCAATGGTAAACCGGCCTCAGAGGATAACTCGTCTACCCTGAGGACTTCTCGTAGCGGGGCTAACAATGCCGAGCCAGCATCAGCGTAAAACGGTAGAGTGGGCGAGGTTCACCATACTAGGAGTATTTCACTCAATCGCTCCTCGTCTTTTCAGCCGAGAAACGGCGATTAAGCGTATCTTCCAGGAGCTATTCTCCCATGTATCTTTCGCCGAGGATGTTTCCATTCCTCTGACGTATTCCTTTCCTCTCCAGAGTGGCTCAACTCTGGAGAAGTCGACCATCACTTGCGAATCCTTCTCACTCCTCGGAGCGCCGAACACTGAGAGGCACATGCGACACAGGTATCCGGAGACTTGTTTTCACCCACCTGTGCCCACCCCAACTCAATCTCAATGCTCGGTAAAAGCACTATCATCGCGGGCCAACACCCAGAGTACTCGTCGTGGAGGTACGTGCGATCGGGCCTCCAGAAGTCGGCCTAACCCCCGGCCCAGGGATTCACGCCAACACCACTTCTTTCGTCCGAAGTGATGGATCCCTGAGAACATGGAATTAAAACACTCCACGTCCTCAAAGTAATCCGATCCTTCTGTTTGGGACGCCGAAGCGTCCCATTCTCTCGCTGTTCCGGACCTTGTCCTCACAACGGACCCCCCATAATCCATAATGGACTAATGCCACTTCCAACCGTCGTCGAGGACCGGACGATTTACATCCGCTCGACTCCAGTGCCTGTCACCGACTCTCTCGAAATCTACTAGGGCCTTCTCCCCCTAGTCTGAACATCTCAGCGGCGGTAGGTCATCCATTACCCCACCACCACCAATCAGCTCGACGGCAATCGAGGGGGCGCTAGTCCTCTCACCTAGCCGTTGGTCCCTAGTCTAAGTCGATAGCGCCTCTAGAATCGCCCAGTTGGAACGCCAATACGTTGGCCCGTTTCCCCCAAACACAGCGGGGCGAGTTTCTAGATAAGGCGACAGGGTATCAACAGCCTCTCTATAATGTTCAGAAGCATGGTTTCACCCAAACCACGCCTCTTGGCATTATTTGATTGGTCTATTCACCTCACGGGCAGTTCACTTAAACCGCCGTTCGATGTCACTCTCATCTCTCGCTCAGCTTCTTCAGCTGGCGTTAGATGTCGCTCTTTCTCTCTGTCCCTCACTCTAACCATTTTTAACTCATGGGTTTTCGTGTTGGTAAAACAGTTTACCGTAACGAGAAAATCTCGTTACAATATATAAAAACTATTATATAACATTACTTCTGAATTTGAGGAACTTTTAACAGTGATGAAATGCTTCATCAGCACGTCCCCATTTCTCAACTTTAAAATTCGCACATAAACGGAATGATTGAAAACAATAAATCGAAAAACCCAAGGACCGAATGAACTACTTTCACAATGATAATTAAAAGAGTGGGAAAAGTCATACCACATTTTCCAGCAATTAAAAATTGACTCGTTGGAGCTCCACGTGTCTGAAACCACGTAAGACTGAAACCAAAGCGCCACTACGCGAGGAGATGAGAAGGCGTATGTGCAGCACGCACGGCTGATTAATAGAAAAAGATTAAAACACTTTTCCAGGGTTCAGCTGTATAGTCATTAACTGACAACTGCTCACCGGTTGTTTTATAACAGAATCCGTGCAGATAAAGATACCCTGGAGAACAAACGCATTTTCCACTGTTGCAGGTGCTACCAACAGAGAGATAAGTCGCACACGGGTGGTTCTCATTGCAGGCATCACCGTAGCTATTTACAACCAAAATATTGAATCCCAAAAAATTTATAAAACTTAGCATTGATAATATTTATTGATCACAGATGAAATACAGAAATTATTATTTCATGTTTTGTAATAAATTTATTTATTTTCAGAATATTTGATAATGAATCTCACGACCACAAAATTGGATCTCCAAAAGTTAACAATTTGCATTATTTATTTACACAGAAGAATTTCGGAAGAAGCATAAATCTCTGTATTTGAAATTTATCTATTAATTTCAACAATATTTTCGTTGAAAATGGTTCAATTACATGACCTTAATAATTTATTCATTAAAAAAAAAATCTCCATTATAATTAAATGAATGCTTTTAGGTCATTCAAATGAAGAATCATCACATGGTAATGAAAACACAAATAATAATAGATTTTACGTTTGAGTAAAAGCTCTATAACGAGCTATTTTATTTTATTAGATGTATTTATTTGATGTGAATGAACTTTATTGAATTTAAATCAGAAATTTCTCCAATAACTTCAATGTAAAGAGCCCTATCAAAATGATATGTATGCTTCAATTTCATGATCCTTATTCACAATGAACTAAATTGTGATAAGATACGTAGGAGCGTCAATCAGTACAGGGACGCCACCGCAAGTTGACATTTCCGCCGTTCATATAGAAATGCCAGAAAAATCAAATTAATTAGTCTTGAAGCAGCCGAGGATCAGTAGCAGTTCTGGTCGCAGTAGTTGATTTAATGGATCCAGTTCTTCAATCTTTCCGTTCGTAGCGGTGCAAAGTCGATGTTACGTGGAATAGTTATTAAGTAATACCGAACAAATGATTTTATCCGGGGATAAAGTTGCTTTAATCGAGAGTGGTGTTCCTTCATACATTTAAGGACTCAGACTATTGGGAAGTGTTGCGGACAGTCTCACTCAAACTCAAGTATTCAACTATCAAAAACTTGTTAAAATAATCTAAAGAGTAGAAGAAGGTCTATTCGCGAAAGTATCCATAACAGCTTTTAGCTTGACTAATTGCTGGTGAGGAAATCTCAGATTTACCCCAAGATCTACACATAAAATTATATAACTGCAAAAAGCAAACTTAACTATGAATAAAATAATTTGTGACATAAGACCAAAAGTAGATCTTTCAGATCATTCCAGGAGTAGAGAAATTCGAAATAATTCAGTTGTTAAATTTTTGTAATTTAAATACTTTTGTTTTTATAAATTAATTGACTCAAAATTCGCAATTAAAATCAAATTCAACTCTAAATTTCTTGAT